CCAAAAAGTCAAAAGACATATACATATACATGTAGTACATATACACATACATATACATATATACATATATATGGGGGATTCTCAAAACTTCAGCGGATGTCTTTTGCGCTCTCTGGAATTGATCTTCAGGGCAATAATGGGGAGTACCCATACAAGGCCAGCCCGAAAATTACTGGGCATCTTGGATCACCCTTCTTGCCGCTCAAACTATGATCGGTACCAGTACCTGGCAATAATTATGATGACGACGACGAGCGAGGAGAGGTACCAAGATCCCAAACTGCGAGTTCTAAAGCCCTAAACCCTTGCCCCTGTCGGGCGGAAGTTTTGTCAGCCATCTCGAAAGGTCAAGCAATCTTTGGGCTTTTGATTTGTCAAGTGGTGTAATTCGGAGCTACTCTCCCAAAGGTTGAACCGGGTGTGGGGGTCCACGATATCAGGTCCTTAGGCCAATAATGGCTCTAGGGTTCGGAGGTTCGGTTCAACAGTTCAAAAGCAGCCTAAGGATCAATCGCGAAGCCCTAAGCCCTAATCCCGAAAAAGGCCGCTTCCAATTTTTGTTCCATTATCCCTATTTACAACCCACAAATATTCTGAACCCTGATATATCTCCTGCTTTTTCATTCTCTAATACAAAGGCCGTAGCAAGTTGAGCAATTTGCGTGCTGTTGGGATGCCTGATGATGTGAAAATGGGGTTATGAGGGAGAAACTTGTAATTCTTCAGGCTGCTGGAGTGCCCTGAAGAGCTCGAGCAACAAAGGTCGTCATCCTCCAGAAGCCAAGACGATGTGCCTGCACAAAGATTGGGGGGGCTATGTTACTCTTGTGGCCCAGGGTTTGGGACGTAGGGCCGTAGTCTTAGGCTTCAGGATCCCCCCCAAAAATGGCAAGTTAAGGTGCCAAGCCCTACAGTCAAAATGACTTGATAGGTATCTCACCCTCAGTACAGGAGCACTTTGTGCGTCAGGGTGAGGCTTTGTGTTTACTTTCAATTGTGCCAGAAGGCTTCTCTCACTGTAGCTTTGGAGCTGTTGCCCAATTAATCCTTCGTCTATTCCTCCAAGTACATTATGGCATATGAAAATATGTCATGGTACATTATGGTATAGTCTAGTATATTTTAGTGCATTGTAGGATATCGTAATATATTATATTACGTTATGGTATATTGTAATGTTATGGTATAATATTGGGTATTTGGCAACATGGTGATTACGGTCGACACCTGTACACTGAACCACGCATGGGTAGTTCCCAAAATTAGGGTGCCAGGTTGGTACTGCTAAATATTACGTGCCGTTGTATAATCTAAAACCAAAGGGGCCCATGATATTGAGAACACACCAAATTCTTACCCCAATCTGCTTGAGCCGATGTGATGGCTGAGGTCAGCTAGCTGGGTGAGTAGCTTCCCAGCCTTTTCCCGTAGGAGGGCATGTGTTCAGCTTGTGGCTCAGGGGCTCCACCTGGAGAGCTGCATCAGAAGATTGGGGATTGTAAATGTAGAGTGCTTAGACTCGGGTATGTGTCTGGTATACTGTAGGAAGTTATGAGGGGACAATGTTCCTATGCATTGAGGGTTCCATTCCAGTCGACTGGATTTGGTCCATATTCTGCTAGAACCTCTACAGCGATGCGTACCTGTTGCCGTAGCTAGGGCCAATAGCACGATGTTTTTGTTGGAAACGGATGTAGCTAAATTGTTTGCGCTTTTTATGTCGCTCTTGGAACCTGATTTTCTCCCTCGCTGCCACCCTCCCTCTCGCTCTGACAAATCCAAAAATTCAGTGAATGTCTTTACAACGGTGGCCCTTCCGCTCCAGAATGCTGACGCATGCCCAAAAGTAGTAGGCAGAGAATTGGTGCACGCATTTGGGGGAGCTCTAGTCTAGAGCCGCTACGGCAGGCCTCTGATAGACCCTGGATGAACCGCTGTCTACACAGGAGCACTAAAGTCTTGAGGCTGCGAGCTAGCCACGAAAGCTATACATGCAACACCAGAGCTCCACCGTGCACATTCACAACTCCGCCAAAGTAGCGGCTATTGCAAAAAGAGTTTGGACAAGAATGTCCAAGCTAGATAGTTATGTGCCTTATGGCCATTTAAGGGGTCCTGCCGTCCGGGATTATTCGACTATTACGCGTTGAATGGGCAAAGAGGACCCTAATTTTGGCAAATATTTCTTTAATAGGGTGGACCAGCATGTGGGGGGTTTCCAGAAGTATGTTTCTCTTGGAAACCCCCACTGGTCCCATCTTTCCAACATAATGTAGGATGGATTCGTGCGTCGATGGAGAAACGGTACTGTAGATACACAAGTGGAACGTGCAGTGGCAGTGTTGCCACTCCCGATGGTTGTACTGCAGGGGCAAAGGTGACAGAATCAGCAACATGTCTTTCATCCATGGAGCACTGTTGCAGTCAGCAGACCAAAGCTAGGACAAATACATTTCCAAGTGGCCAAAGAATGGGATCAAAGAAACGGACGAGATATTGCGTAGAGTAGCAGCAGTTTTGGGCCTGAGTGGCTGAGTTTTGCTTGAAGATCCGGAGATCCATGAGTTGCTAGGCTTTCAGAGTTTGTGTACCTTCCCCAAAGACCGAGATATGTTCAGAAGGACATTCATATGCTTCTGACAGAGTGCCCTTACTTCTGGGATTCTCAGATATTTTGCCCATATTATCTGTTAACCTTGTTAAGATGCCAGCACGAAGCAAGGATCTAAGGAAATTTAGGAAAAATAGACGAAGAAGGACAGAAGGACGCAAGGGACAAGTGAGTCAAGAACACAAGGACATGCCATGTTGTTTTCATTGGTGATTTACGGATTAGCTCTGCTTTGTTCAGAGCTGCTATGACTGCGCTTGCCTTTGCTTCTATGACTGCGATTATGTCGAAACTTTTCGGCACGCATTCATGATTTCCGAAATGGTCGATTAAATCTTACAATTTCATCTGTCGGCACTTATGCATAAGTTGATTATTCCTGGTATCTTTCATTAGTAGTACTGCTAGGGTGCAGAGCCTAAGCCATGAGAGTAGCTCTGCCCAGACAAGGCTGAGCCCAGTGGATTTGAAGAATAAATACACGCAAAACGACATGTTGGGGTTGATGGCTGCTAGCACTGCACTTGCAAGGATGGGGGAGAATGTGTTAGACTGGGGTCCCGCCCCGACAGATTACAGAGCTCATACGTCAACGGCCATGCATGTGGTATCAATGTGTGCAATGCTGCCAAGCCTGGGTGTGATTGAATCAAGGTTCTGGCCAGCAGGGCCCAATTTCTGCAGCATTGTAAGCAGTGTTGGCATGGTGCAGCAAGTCATGCAAAGAGCACCACACCTCAAGAAGGTTGTTTCGGGCACTTCTCTAAAACAGGGAGAGCAGGCTGGAAGTCAGCTTCCGCAATGCATGGCCAAGAGGCACAGCCGGGTTCATCTCTTGTTCCTTACTCATCCAGAAAAGTAACTTCTCACGACTAACCACTTAACAAAAATGATGCTACTCTTGAGGGTTATCATTCTCCGGGCCACATCAAGCTTCCCGAGACAGCCTGTGTTTGTACGGTATGTGGCCGCACAAGACCTCCCGTGGTGGAGCTCGCAGGTGCGATCATATGTACACTTGCGGCCAAACACTCATTGGAGGAGTACGGTTTACTTTAGCTCCCCACCAAGCAAAATTCCGATGGAAGCAATTTTGTATGCCTGACCAGAATTCAAACATCATTTGGGCACTGGCACGCTTCATCTGTCAGGCAGGGCGGCCCTGGGGCCGGGTGGTGTAGCATCTTCAGGATTGGTTGTGACGTCTACATTTGCCTTCCAGGAGAGTCCTGGAAAAGATGCAAGCTGAAAATATTCCGTGTTTGACTCCGAAATGTTAAATACCGAAAAGACGAGGCGGGATTCGTAATGTATTCGAAGGTACTATTTGGTCGTGATGGGCGCGCATGATTGCCACGCACACCTTCAATTCAGCCGAGATGCAGCGAGGCTCAACTTAAACATCTACGGGTGTGTTTAAGAGAGCTCCCATAAAACTGTGCAGTTTTGCGAAATGAAGTGTTTACGCTGGGCTCCAAAGCAGCTATGGAGCATTGCTGTGACTGCATGCTGGATGCTACATTGGCTCAATTAGCGGTGAACAAAACAAGCCATTTATCAACTCTTGCCGCATAACTACTACAGCAAGAGCTGCAAGACTGTTGGCTCATGAAGAGGAAGTCTTGGTACAACTTCCCACAACCCAGATCTTCAGTCCAAAGCCATGAGAGTGTACAGTGAGTTGAGGGCTTTGTGGTGATTAGTGGCATAGGGGCTGTCGACTTTCGCGCGACGCCCAGTCCAGCTGGAGGCTTAGTGACACTTCCAGCCAACGGCCAATGCGTTTTGAAAGATTGGGGAAAATGTTGAAGGGTTCTTGTGATGATATTTGTATTAATTCATGGCAACTGAGGGACCCAGCTCTTGCAAATCCTCTCCAGAGACTCCACGATGACGTCATGGGTTTTGGAATCATCATGAAGGGTTGCATGGTGAATATTTTTGAGGTCTGATGTGGGTGTTGAGGGATGTCTATGGGGTCTCAGAAACACAGTGACTTCACAGTCATTACGAATTCCCACACCCTCCGGTTCTACTGTCGTCGATTGTCCAGACGCAGACATGGCAGATTATGGACGCCCCATTGAAATTGCGTAGTGCCGGCCGGGTGCTTCAGACCTTTGCCGGGCAGAAACCTTAAGAGAGGCACAGGGCAAAATCCCACACCGTCATCTCCAGAATCCAAGAGAACATCGAGAGATGCTGTGGTGAACTGGGAGGCGTTGAGAGGCCGCTCAGGGCCATCTTTGGGCACATTTTGGGTAGGTGCACCAGTTAAGTTTCTCATCCCTATCCAGAGACATTCCTCCAAACCCCAAGACACCCGAAGCCATCCATCAAGAATTCTAAAAGCTCACCAGTCCCTCTAAGGTCGCGACTCGCTTCCAAGATGGAGCGCAGTGGGGGCCACAGAGACGAGGGCCTGTGGGTTTGGCTGTAGGTTTCAGCTCCCTCGCATCGCATGACCCCTTATGAGGAATAGTCGATTCTGCATTGCGGATTCTCTGGCGTAATTCTCTTGAAGTGGGATGGCTTGGGCAACACCAAGCAAAAACAGCATCGGACCGCCAAATCCTAAAGCTCAGTTTTCACTCAAGAGTTCACACTGAACTTTGCCTGTCCATTTGTAACTGATGCCCATGGATTGACTACTGGCTAGCGGGGCCCAGCGATTCCCAAGAACCGTCCCCATAGTCGCCTGCAAAGCGAGTTCCACCTTTCAATGAAGGAGATCGTGCACCATGCAATTTACCCCAGCAATGGGAGTTGCAGGGGTTTGGGTATCCCAGTGGAGCAACATTTCTCCATAAGCATTAGGACTAGGAACCTCTGAGCGGACACCTCGCCGCCTGTACCCTGTTCGAGTCCGCTGTTTGCAGGTTGTTGGCTGTCTGTTCCCGCATGGCTTGCTTTGTCCGAATCTATTGTTCATTTCTTTGTGAAACCTGCAAGACAAGAATGGGCTGTTCACCACGCACGCAAGATTACCATGCGTGCCGTCACATCTTGCTATGGCTTGCTTTTTCTGCGCCGTAAATTTTCCTGAGCACATGTCAGCCTCAAATCGTTTCTTGAGCAAGCATGCGTCCTCAGGGTGCAAGGGTTGCAGGGCCCCTGCCCGATAGCGGTCCTCAACCATGGCAACCTCGAGCATCATTTCCCCCCTGAGGACAATCGAACGTTTGCACGGGTTTCTGCTTTTCCTGTCCTACTATGTATGCACTCCCGGCGTCATTCAGCCCTTCACCTCAAAGCGTCCAACTTGAAGGTACCACTGGGGAGGCCGAAATGGAGGCACGAGCCATTCCCGTAGCTTTGACAAAGCTATCAATGTCTTAGTTGAGGTTCGCAGTATACAGGCAGGCCTTTGTTTTTAGGCTTCACTTTTGGTGGTTTGTGCTGTATGGTTTGGAGGAGTGGCGGTTTCATGACTATCCTCATCATAAGAGCTTCCAAAAAGCACTTAATGACGCCCAGGATGCATTTTTATGGGATGCTGTGGGATGACACAGGACGCTGTGTAGCAGTTTCGTGCCTGACCTTGGGTCAGCACCTACTCCACGAGGGCCCCATTGAGCGAAAGGAGCTTACAGGACTACTTAGAGTATTTTCTGCTTTTGAGCGATTGTTCGGGCTTGGCTTCATATCCTATACACAAAATCTCCAATCTCATCCCAATGCGAGCTCTGGGGTTCAGCGCTCGAGAGCGGACGGTCTGGGGCTTGAGGCCCAGTGGTTTTGGTTTGATTGTGTGAGAGTCGCGTCGGATATGCGGACATATTGCTTGGCATCCAGGGCCTGAGCTCCTTACCGGTTTTAGAGTCAAGGGACTGCACAATTTGCAGACATAAATGTAAGAACATATATTCAGTGCAGTAGATCCCACGCACAGGAGCAAAGAGTTGAGAACCAAGGGTGTCAAGCATTCGAAGATAGATCGAGCCTTTTTCTCCAAGTAGTGATGCTAGGAAGACTTGCTGGTCTAGGTTGTTTTTTTGGTTCAGGCCCCGTAAAGCTTTGATCCACGTAGCCCAGGCCGGCAAGTCTCTAAAGCCCTGCTGGCCCCTAGATTACAATTTCGGCATGCAAGAAGCCGTCCCCAACAGTGAGTTCCTCAAAAGCCGGCACCTGTGGAAGGTGGATGACGTCGAATGTAGCAGCAAGACGGCCATCAATCAGCACCTCAGTTCTGAAGTAGTACGCAGTTGCTTGGGCTTGAGGTTTCAGGCTGTCAACATTAGGGCCCCCATCTTCTTTTGATGGTCGTAACATGATGCCCAGAAGTTGTTCTCTGCGGGTGCCTCTGCACACATTTGTGCTTGTGGGGGGCCTCTGCATCCAACAGGACTTCCTTTACCGAATCCTTTGGACGTAAAGCCTCCGTCCTTACGCTTTAGCCCCCGCATACACTTTGCTTCCCAGAAGAGAGCTTTTCACCCTCCACTCCACAATCCTAAAACTAGTTCTGAAGCTCAGGTGGTCTTTGGTCAAGCCATTTGGCGGCTGCTGGGATCTCAGGTTAGCTTATCGGGGATAGGATCCGGGGTTCGGGTCTTTCTTTAATGATCAGAGGACTTGCATCCAGTAATTCTTAGTTGTTCCACAAAACTACGTGCCGAGCTGAAGGGATCATGACGACGTTTTGTTCTTAGCCTGGCAGCAAGCAGCACTCCATGGATGTCGATCTTCAACCTCCCGCCCCGCACAACTTTCAACATTCGGCTCAAGATGTTACCTCCCGGCTAGTCCTTGACTATCACTGACCGTGAGCCCTGAACCCAAACCTCAGGTTCTTAAAGCAAAAAGCTGCGAGCCTACACCATAAGCTCAAACAATTGAAGCTCCTATCCTGCAAAGCCGAAATGAAGGTGTAAGGGGAAGGGGCCCCATATTTTTTCCACCCCCTAGCATATTTTTTCAACCCCCTCCTATTTTTCTGACCCCCTATCCTATCTTTTTGACCCCGGTGGACCCCTGACTTTGCCAGACCGTTCGTTTCACCCCAGCTACTCGCTTTTCTCACCCCTTTGTTCTACCTTTTCCACCCCGGGTCCCCACTTTTTTCAACCCGGAACAGCTTTTTCCGGCCCCAAAACGATGCTTTTCCAACCCCCCGCCAGCTCGTGGAGTGGACCCTATAGAAGGGGCCATGCCAGCCCTCAAATCCCCAAATCTCTAGATGCTACCCGAAGCCTTCGGCAATCCCAAAGTCTTCCGAAACCCTAAACCTTCGATACTCCGAAAGACCTTGTCAAGAGTTTTTTGGGTCTAGTTTAGGATCTACAGCAGGGTTCAAATGAGCAGCGGTTTTTGTTTACGCTTAATCAATTATGAATTCGTACGAAGCTATCGCCTCCAATTCGTGTCCGAAAATGAGGTTTTCCTGTGCGCGCGGAAGGACGCGGAAGCTCCGCGGAAGCGTTTCTT